TTTTTCAACTCAGGAGAATCTCATTTTTGATAAAAATTTTAAATCGATAACAAAAGAATTGTATCTGTGTCAGATAAGGGGGCTTTAGTGTACATAAATATTCAATTTTATACTCTTACCACTTGCTGGTATGGATTCTAATAGTTTTGTTTACTAAACAGTTGTTTGTATCATCTAAAACTAATCGTAAAATATAAATGAGCTGGATGACGAGACGAGTTGAAATCCGGGTGACTGTTTGTCTTTTTTTCGATCTGTCCATCCTTTGAAGCTGCAAATATTAAGAAATCTCAATGAAACTTGGTATATATTTTCCGTGGAAAAAACCTAGCACGAGTTCATAGATTTTTACTGAATTCAGTTATCTTGGGATCCAACTAACCGATTTCGACAAATTTTTATACGTAGCATTCTCGTTATATGCATACACAGTACACTTCCCATACAACACAATTGATTCTTTCATTTTCCTATATACAAATCAGGAAGTAATTTATGTAATAATTTTCAGTACTAATTCCTTTTAAGTATCCTACAAACCACAACAGCTTATAAGTTATATGTATGAAATTGCTTGAATTTCGATGCTCTGGTTAACGTTTTACACTTTAAGGTATTTCCCATCATTTTGCTTTTGTATGTATTCTTTTACTTTCAAGGGGTAAATTATTTTATTAATCTATAAAATACGAATTCTTAACAGAATTCCTTCAAACCTTTAAAGGCTAGTTTATAAATAAACATTACATAACTTTTAAAACTACAGTTTGTTCCGGTTTCTTGTAAATTGTTTTGCAACTTCGACTGAACATGTTTACAGTTTTGCATTTTGTAAACAACCCAAAATATTAAAATGGATATGGAAACTCCCTTCCACGAATTCCTTCACATTTGACATGCCGAAAATAACTGTGAAGCGAATTGCCTTTGTCATTTTTTTTATCATTCATTGTTTCATTGTGCTCTTTTCTACCTTTGTGAGTCCGATCAAAGCAGGGCCATTTAGTTTTCAATCAAATCCAAACGCACATCTGCTTATATTAGTGATTGTCTGATATATTATACTATATGAACAAATGTGGGTGTGTTAAATAGCACCATTCTTCTACAATTGTTCGTATGTATATACCTTGTTTAAAGACTATATATTAGTTTAAAAGAGCTGAAAAGATATACATATTAATTTTGTGCAGTTTTGTTTCTAAACCCTTGCACATGGCAGCTCTTGTATAAGAACAAGCTGTCAGATTATGATTTCGAACTTTATTCTTTTCAATTGTGTCATTAATATAGATGTATGACTCTCTTGAAGAGCTCAATTATTCGCTTATTCCAAAGAATTATTGACGTAAGAACTTTTTATAATAGAAAATCTCTCTCCTTAAAAATATCCATGTAAGACATCACAACACAATGGTTTTTGAAAGCAAAAGAATTTCGAAGAATATAAAGATAAGCAACATTTGTTCGCAAGGTCTTACTAGTTTCGTAATATAGTGGACTTTTGTGAAAAACTAGTAAACGATGATATGCCATTTCTCTTTTCACTATCTTTATGCGTTGCTCATATAAAAACAACAAGAGAGTAAGAGATTAGTTCAGGTTAACTCATACCGGCCGGCTATCAGACCATATAAATACGTACCGGCCCTTAAAAATGCCATATGGAGATTCATGTTATTAAAGCATTCCATCTTCTCATAATTTATTATTGTTCTAAAGTTATTCACTTCTGGGTTGGTAGCCACTCTTGACAATCTCATCCTAGAACTCCTTTATTGCCTGGAATCAAATATATGTACATCCAATATATTTACGTCCCTCCATATACTTAGGATGTTTTCTAATCAATAATGATGTCACCAACGGTAAAGCCTTCTGCCTGAAAGAGACTGCAATATTCCGGAAGCTTAAAGGCTCGCCTGGGATTCAAGACTCCCACTCCATTAACCCTTTTCGAACCGTCTCTGTAGATTTTGCAAGTTCCACTGTCGATACGGTTTTAAACTTACTTAAAATCTTCTGTCCCAGATAAACCGTAAGGATATGTGACGTATTGTATCCACTATATCTGAAGATCCCTGTGAAGGATTCACCTTACATCGCCAATTTTGCAGCTGGCTTTGTCTTAAAACTTTCTACTGCAATGCTAATGGCTGGCAGCTTGATTAACCTTTCTATACGTTGTAGACTGGTTCCTAGCGTTCTTGTTATCCAGAGAACGGGGAGCTGACAGCGGTCCGCCACACCAAAATATCGCAAAGCAAGATTGGATTGACTACCGCAGTGTAGCACCAATAACTTAGGGTGAAAGCTCCAGCATCTTCTTATATACTTAGAGAGCACCATTAGCCTTTATCTCTCTCTCTTCCGCATTAAGGTCCCACATTAATTGAATATCAAAAATTACTTACAGGTACTTGTTAGGCTCCTTAATTGAGCTTCAGGGGTTTTCGTTTCGGGATTTTGTTGCTGCTTGTAAAGAGTACTACATCCGTCTTTTAGGTATTAACTCCAGGTTAGCCGATCTCGAATATCGCATTTGGTATTAATCCTCTCGTAGTTCAATAAAGTTGTTACCCATATTTTGATGTCAGAATCCATCCTGGCTGTTTCAAACTGCTAACGATTATGTCATTGTTGAATGCCCCACTTATGTCAAAAATTCTCACAGGGCGTATTCCTTCCTGCTATTCAAATAGGTGTGCTGTACTTTCGATATATAATATGAGCCAATAGAAGCTTATCTCTAAGCGTGTAAAATTTTTCTCCAATTTCTGCCAAAATTAGACTAATTAGTATATATATTCTTTCAAATAAAGAGGTTATAATAGAGGAATCATATCCAAAGAGGAGATATAATGTGAAGCTATAATAATACTGCATATATTGTCATCAGAAAAAGTACTAACATTGTTAATGTCATGCCTAGAAAAATATCTTTCATACCCATAGATTCAAATGGTTCGAAGCCATTGATTGCTCAAAATATTTGCTTCTCCATTATGACATCGGCGGAGACATGCTAGAAATCAGTTTTTCAGTAAATAACTTAAAATGTTGGAATGTGGGTTAAAATTTATATAAAAAAAAAAAACACAACTGTTTTGAAATTTAAAAAATCAATATTTTTCACATGTCGTTTAAGTTATACCCTTAAAGATAGCACACTTTGAATCTATATATTACCAAAAGTGTAGCCGCTCATTTCAATTAGCTCTGCCAATTTATTCCTAAACAATTTTTTTTTTCAAAACGATATTTTTCAAATTTGCTTCAGAGCTTACTCAGACACTTGCACTCGGACTTGCGTAAGAGATAGTTCTGCCACAGCCACAGGGTGGCTCCGATAATTCATAACCTTTATGCAAAATTTTCTTCAAATATTGGAGAAACCATAATTTGAAAATTTTAATTTAGAATTAATTTATAAAATATATTATTTAATCATTTATCATACTCTAACACCCTTTCCCTGTGAACACTTTAAAGCTTCTAAACAGTTTCTCTCCATCAGATTAAAGACAACTTATATTTTTTAATAAAATATTTCACATGCAATTAATTTTTCGCTCCCTCTTTACTCGTAATTACATCGCTTCGATGACTTGTAGCGCCTCTTTGAGTCACACCTTCACTAAAGCGGCAAAGTCAAGCATTGTTATCAAAGAGCAACATGCATTTCGCTATTTTTGTACTCACCATTAGCTTTTTTTATACAAAAAAATGAATAAATAAAAATGTCAAAGAAAAATTGTGCAAAGAAAAATGCATAAATAATAGAAAGTTGAATGTAAAGAAAATGCGCAAAAGTTAACTTTGACAAGCAAGAGCAAAAAGAAAACTAAACAAATTTTAATAAAATTGCAAATCTACGCGCACAGCAACTGTTTTCTTTCGCAAAGCGCAATTCACCTTTGGCGCTGCTTCTACCCTCCCACAAGCTTTTAACTTGACCCATCAATCACTTAAGGTTCACAGCGCTCGTTTATTTGCCTTTGCACTGAGTCGTTATGCAAAATACGTTGTATGTTTTAGCTTTTCCCCTTTCGTTCCTACCATTTCTATTTATCTCTCGGTGCTGATCTATGACTTGTTTTGGCTACAATGTCAAATCAAATTAACATTGATAAGGGTCGGAAAAGTTCAGGAAGAGCAATATTCAATTTCCTTAAATTTTAAGATCTTATTTTTATTCCCAATAATTTGTATTAATAAGGGGCTTTCTTTAAATTTTTGTAAAGATATACATACATATGTCTACTCTTCCTAAGTGATTTTGATTTACCATAAATTAATATGAAATGAAATGAAGGAACCATCGTTGACTCAATACTTCTCCGCATGCTATTTTCGTGCTCTAAACTAAGCCCTCCAGCATAATTCAATATCCTGATTCTCTTAATCAAAAATTTTCCAATATCAGTTTTTATTATTTTTCAACAGTTTTTTTTCGATTCGTTCTTCGTTTCTTGGATCGAAGATAAAATACCGCAAATATAAAGCATATACAAACAGGGTTGAATCTAGTTGTTTTTTTAATTTCTATGAGAAATATATCTCCTTAATGACGAATGACTGTTATTACTTAATTTAATTTCGTGTTTCTATTTTATGAATATTATATTTTATATATGGTTATTTTGCGATAAGAAAAGTCTCCATTGAGCTAATTTTGGATAGTACTGCCCTGTTGCCATCCCTGTTTTTCCAGTTGCGATACGTCAAAAGTACAGGGTGCAGTAAACTGCCGCAGTGATTAACGCTGTCAATTTCAATGATGTAAGAGTTGCATATACATCTCTTTGTTTCAGGTCTCATACTTTTTTAATTCGGTACTTCCCCGCATTCTGTATAGATATTCATATACATACGTACATACATATATGCTATATATAGCAATTGCCGTATGTATATATATATAATATATATATGGGTATATGTACGTATTTGTACATATACATATGTCCTCATACATATATGGAAATAAACTACAAAACTTGACTTCTGAATTTCAGTATCGCTTTATTACAATAAAAATACATAAAATTTGGAAGAAACAAATTTCGGTTAACATCGTCAGCTGAGTTCTCTAAGCTCTTATATCCTTGCCTGTCAACTTCTTCTCATTTATTAATTTACATGTATGTATATTTATTGTAACGAGTTCTTTTATAAACTCGCCTATATCTTTTGTGTGCACTTTCTTTTTCGCAAGCAGCACCGATAAGAAATGCCAATAATATCAAGAGCAGAAAATCAGCGTATTCGTCTTTCTTTTTCTCTTCTGTTATTTCCCCGCTTTCACTTTCATTGTATGTTTCTTGCACATTGTTCACATTGCAGCCGGATTCTTGAGAAAGTCCAGAAGCCTCCTGCGAAGATGGTACCTGATAGCAGTAGCTATTGGCTGTAAATATATCTTGATCCACATTTGCTTCGCAGCTTTCTATTATTAACTATTATAAAAAATTTGATTTTTTTTATTAATGTGATCATTTTGCAATATAATAAGTATAATATACTCGTACATATGTATACAAATATATACATACTGATATATACATAAATGTTCTTCCTCCAAACTTACCTCATTTAAGCCATTGCTTATGTAGGACTTACTTTGTGCCTCAAAACAAATTTGAGGTTCACAGATATTTAAAATAATTGTTGAGAATATTACAATTACGCTAGGCATCGTTTGCTTTCGGCTTGCTAAGTTGCACTGACATGGATAATATGATACGAGACTTTAGCATTGGCTCTCTTTTTCTCTCAAACGCGTTCACTGATTATTTGACAGCGATGGAGATCAGGGAATTTCTGACATTTGATTTCAGAAAAGGCGGGATGCCAGAAGTAAACCGCTATAATTACCTGACGAAACTAGTGTGAAATGAAATTTCATTGAACTGTGCGAACCTATTTTGGCAAAATAAATGTTTATGTAAATTAAATAATGATTATGCATTTTAGCTTTTATATATGTATATAACATTTGCCAATGATGTCACTGTTGAAAAATATGAGATTGGGTATTTAATAAATTATACAAAACACTAAATTAAACACTTTGAAAATGCATACATACATATAACCTTACAAGTAACAAAAGAATCAGCTGTTTTCCAAGAATTTTTCACAGCTGAGATCACCTGATCGAAATCTGCCTTTTTAGGCACAGAGATGTAATTAAAAGAA